TGGAGGGCGGCCCGCTTTCAAGATGCGGCTCTCGCCGTAGCGCCGCGCACAGCTGTTTCAAAATTCTCCAGAGTCTCGCGGATGGACGGTGGTCCCGTTTCAAAAATGTGGTTCGTGATTTCGCGCCGCGCGCATTGGCCTTGAGAGTTCGCAGCAGTTCCCAGGATTCCAATAGCCAACGTTCCAGAAACGGGGTTTGGGCAAGATCTCGGAATGTCAGGGCGGAGCGGTCACGTTGATTCGTTGTGTTGACGCCCCAGCGGCAACATTCTGGCACGGTCCAGGGTCGTCAGGACGCAACACTTACGGTGGTTCGCGGCGCTGAAATCCCAGGAGTGGCATTCTGGCACAATTCTGGATGTTCAAACGGTTGGTTTCCAACGGGGCGCTTCCCTCTGCGAAAAAGAGTCTTTGCACATGAAGAGGGAACTGGAGGCAGGGTTTACTGCAACATCGTTGATGGGTCCTGGGTTTACACTGGTCCTCCTCATCCTCATCCTCCGCCTCCTCGATCCTCGATCTTCTCCCCAGAGGCCAGGGACCCGCAAGCACCCCCCCTTCGCCCCCCAGCGCGCCCTGCAGGGCGACAGCAGGCGGGACGGCCCCTCGCCCTCGCAGGGCGAGGCGCCGTGGTCGTCCGGGGCCCTGAAGCCCCGAGAGCCGGGCGTTGCGCTTGCATCACAGCGGGCGGCTCAGCCAGGTCCGCAGACACCGGCCAGGTCGCGGAGAGCCGCGATACCGACCAGGCGGTGGTCAGCTGACGAAGAGCGTGCCAACGGCGAAGAGCACGTGAGCGCCGCTAACCTGGCGAACAAGAAGCGCATGACGCGCCCCAAGAGCACGAGGAGGACGCCGAAGAGGACGGAGGCGGATGATGGCGGACCGTCACGCCGAACGAAGACACCGTTGTGCCATTGTGGAAGACGCAGCCAACATGGCGCGGAGAATGCCCACGGGTGGCCGCAGTGAAGGCAGCGGTGTCGCGCAGGTGGACCCGTGAAGTAGTACAGACGGCAACCCTGGGTGAGCGGAAAACGAGCAGGAAAATCACGCCAGGCGGCAACAGTCATCCAAATAGCCGTGTCCAGCGCATCCCAAGGGACAACCATGCCGTACAGGTAGAACTTCAGATGGCCGTCAACCGACACCGTGAGCCCCGCGAGCGCGAACCAGAAGACAAAGCTGATCGGCGCGAAAGGACCGTGCCAGTGAGGACCCCCACCAGTGGAAGGAGCCCAGCGCGTACCCGAGGCCAAGGAGAAACATTGTCGCACAGGTAGGACTTCAAATGGCCGTCGACCGACACCTTGCGCTTCACGTGCGCGAGCCCGAAGGCGAAATGCCCGGCACGAGAGAACCGTGCAATTGAGCGCCGCCCATCGGGTAGCCCGAGGGTGGAGCGGCGGGGGTCCATGCGAGGCCGGCGCCCGCAAGTGCCTGCCAGGGGGGCCGTGTCGCTTTGGGCGCAGCGGGCCGCTGGCAGGGGTGGGGCCAGCGCGTCCAGACAACCAACATGAACCCTTGCGGCCATCACGTGATGGGGGCGGACGGGAGCGAAGCCCCGGGGGAGCTGGTGCCATACCAGCAGGACCAACCCGAAAGAGGTTCATAGGAGGCAGCTGATCGCTGCAAGCACTCGAAAGGCCTCGGCAGAGGAGTACCCGTGGTAAGCAGCTGATCACTGCAAGCACTCGACAAGCCTCGGCAGAGGAATACCCGTGGTAAGTGGAATGCCCAAGGTAACCACGAATCTCATCGACTGAAATGATGACCTCGACAGAGGGATACCCAAGGTAACGCGAACGTGGAGCGCACCAGGGAGGAGGAAGGGGGGGAGGGGAGGGAAGGCAGCGGATCGCTGCAAGCACAAGAAAAGAAACCGCCCGAGGCGGGGTGCGAGGTGCAAGGTGCGCCGGGGATGGTGGAAAGTGGTTACCACTGGTGTCGTTTGTCCGTAGTTGGTTCGTCCCAGCCGTGGCTGCGTTTGCTCTGCTTGCCGCTTCGCACCACGGAGGCGTCGCGGTCTAGCCCTTTGCCTGGGCGCCCGACATTGCCCCGATCGTCCGTCGCGGGGTCCTTGCGCGGGGTGTCGAAGTCGTTCTGAAGTCTGTGCTGCTGGTCGAGAGAGCGGGCGTCGTAGAGGTTCTGTCGCCAGGCGGTCAGGCAATCGTCGCAGGCGGCCTGAAATTGCAGGTATGGGTCCATTGGGACAAGCCCGTGCCGAGTTGCTTTGCACGCGATCCAACTGTGCCAGGCCCTGTTGAATATGGATCCGAGCGCGGATTGCATCCCTTTAATGAAGGCAGGGCTGCTCTCAGCCGCACCTTGTGCCTCAACAAGGTGTGTGGGCAGCTTGTACATCTGGTCGTGAGTGCGGCAGCAGGTTGGCGTGAGGGGGTTGGCGGTGACATCGCGCCACATTCCTCGTACCCACATGCCAACCGCTTGGCTGCTGGGAGTCGTGCGTGCAGCGTGGCACTGTCCCTGGGGTCCGTAGTCCCTCGACCTATAGCTTGCCCAGCTCGAGCCATAGGCGCGCCCGCCATCGTGTGCGTTCCAGTTGGAGCTGTAGTTGGTCCACCTGCTGCTGTTGGGACTCCGCGCGCGGTCCGTGTGCCGCTCGGCATGGTCGTAGGGCCTCCATCCTTGGTCGCGCCCCTTCCCGTGTCCCTCGGCGCGCGTCCAGGGTAGCCTGTGCTGGGTAATTGCTGCCATTTGTTTCGCCCAGGAGTCGGGGAGTGCTAGCGGCTTGCGTGTGTCAGCGGTGTCGTGGTCGTGTCGCGCGTCCCGTGTCCCGTGCCCCACCTTGGTACAGGGAAGCGGCGTTGTCATTGCTGGCTGCTGGCCGGCGCGGCAGCGCAGAGGGTCACGGTGCGAGGAGGGGACTTGGAGTTGGCTTCCTCGTCGGCAGGTGAGGGGACGGGATCGTCGTCCGCTGGGGGCTCCAGGCTCGTTTGTGGTGCCTCTGATTCAGGCCCCCACGTCTAGTTAAGGTCTGGGCCTGGAGACTGGCCAGACGCTCCGTCTTCCCCTGAGGGTTCGGAGGGTGGAGGTCCCCCTTGGTCACCAGTCGCTGTACCCGTGGTCTCCCCTTCTTCTGCTCCGGCCTGCGCGCTGGGTGGAGGGTGGGTAGCCTGCGTAGGCGTGGCCTCGTCAGACGGCGCTGTTGCTGGGTCTGTGTCGTTTCTGCTTACTTCCCGATCCGACAGGACGTCGTCAGTTAGCAGGTCAGATCCGAAGCTTGCAAGCCAGTCCACTAGGGTGCTAACATTGTGGTGAGCAGGGTCGGTGTCCTTGAGCGGGGCGTCCCTTTGGGCATGCAGCCTCCAGGATTGTCCCACCAGGGTCTCTTGGGTGAAGCGACGTACCAGGCACACGGCAGCCCATCTCTTGCCGTCCCAAGTGGTGCCGGGCGGGACTCCGTCGTCGGTAAGTGTGCCGGTGTAGAGCGAACGGATGTGGGTACAGGCCAGTCTGTGTCCCCAGACATTGTCACTCCAGTCGTCCAGTTTGGAGCCCTCCTGGGAGGAGAGAGTGATCCAGGCGTCGTCGGAGGCTGGGTCCAGAGAGCGAACGTGCCTTGGCAGTGCCAGGGGAGAGGCTGTTTCCGTCCCAAGTTGGTCGTTCGTTGCTGCGAGGTAGGCATCGACATCACGGTGATTCAGGGGGGGCACGCGGGTGGTGGGAGAAATGGTAGGATGCTGAGGATGCTGAGGATGTGAGCAGAAAGACAGGGTCTAGGGCTCCGGCTGTGATTTTCACGATGCTTCAGCTTTTGGGAACGTCGGATCCCAGGGAACGCAGGCCCCGCGTCGTGAACAGAACGCTGCAAGAGGTTTTCTGCTGCCTTCTGGTTCCATGGGCCCCTCGCCGTGCCCCCGAACTCGCGCAAAGGACGGCTCGGGACGAAGAGGCTGCCTGTGGGGTCAAGACCTCTGGGGGACCACGTTGCGACAGAGTCACGACGTGCGCGACTGTTTGGGTAATGGCGGGCCCCCCCCCCGCGCGCCTCATGTGCAGGGGGAGGCGCGGGGCGTCGGAGGTCTCCGCGGAGCCCCAGGGGAGGCGGTGCAGGTCAGCGGGAGGGGCAGGGAGGAGGGCAAGAGGGGCAGGGGAGCCGGGAGAGCGGCAGGCAGCAGAGGGGAGGCGGCAGAAGGAGGCGAGATTCGGGGAGGGAGGGACGGGGGGGAAGGAGGGAGAGGAGGGGGGGCGGGGGGAAAAGGGCGAGGAGGAGGAGAAAGGACGGGGAAGGCAGCGAGGAGGGAGGAGGGGGGTGGGGCGGAAGAGCAACAGGGGAGGTGAGGAGGACGAGAGGAGGGGGAAGATGAGGCCAAGGAAGGAGGAGGAGGAGGAATATAGGGAATTGGTTGACTGGTGAACTGGTTGACTGGTGTATGAAGGTGAAGGTATGTTGGACCCATCCTTGCAGTCGTCTTAGTTGGCCGAGAGACTACCAGGAGGTCCTCGGCCCACTCCTGCGCCTATTGACGGCAAGGTGTAATAGTGTATTGGCGGGAGAGGTCGACGCAAGCACTCCGTATGATGGCAGTTGCGAGGGCTGTGAGGCCTGTGATGGTCCTCACTGATGAGGCCTATGATGGTCCTCGCTGGGGTGGGGGGGAAGAAGGCAGAAGGTCCGAGCTCGAGCGAACCGCCATGTCCTGAAAAATGGGCGCCCTGATAAATGGGAGCCTGACAAAGAGAAACAGAAGCTTGGCCCCGAGGGGGGAGGAGGGAGCACAGGGCGAGGGGAGGAGGGGGCAGGTCGACGAGGGGGAAGAAGCTCAGCAGGCAGGAGGAGGAGGCCGAGGAGGTGGAGCAGGCGGCAGGGGAGGGGAAGGGGGAGGCCCGGCAGGAGAAGGGACGAGGGCAACCTGCGGGCAGGAGCGGGGGCGAGGGGCGAGGGAGGAGGGGGCGGCGGGCGCAGGAGCAAGAGGAGGGGGAGCAGGGGGGCAGCTGGACGAGGAGGAGGCGGAGGATTGTGGATTGGCCCCGGCCAGGATCAAGATGAGGAAGAGCGCGCCGGACTCGGGCATCGGGGATACGCCCAACAGGCGCGTGAGGGCGTAGGCACGCCGAGATCGGACGGCGAGAGGCCGCGGGCCCTCCCCGGGCCCTCCGTTGTCGCTCCTCTGCCGAGCTGGCGCAGAGGAGCACGAAACGTCTGCCGAGAAGGAGATGTCGGCCTTCGGCGCGCACAGAGAGGTGCACCACGCAGACGCGGAGGTGTGTCGTGCGATGATTTATGCTGTCGCTGGGTATCCGCATTCTCCTGCTCCCGGTCTGCTGGGCGTCCTTGTCTCGCTCTCTCTCTCTCTCTCTCTTTCTTTGTTTCTCTCTCTCTCTCTCTGTCTCTCTCTCTCTCTCTCTTATCTCTCTCTCTCTCTCTCTCTCTCTCTCTCTCTCTCTCTACATATATATATAGAGATACAGAGAGAGAGAGAGAGAGATTCCCTTTTTATATTTCTATCATGTAGGACCCTGCGACCCGCCCCCCTCCCTAAACGGGACCCCCCGGATCCTTGGCCCCGGGGGCATCCTGTGGGCGCCCTTGCAGACGGTCCCCATGTGCTTTCCCGGGTTCCTGAAGCCCCTGCTGGGCCTAGGCAGCGGGCCCACATCGGTCAGGAGGGCGGCCGGGCGGCCCCGCGAGAGCCCACAGAGGCCCCAGACACCCACCAGACGCCCCAAGACGACCGAAAGAAGACCTCCAAGAGACATTCGAAACGCAGAAAGCATTAATTTGTTATGATTTTGGTATGATATTGGGAATCTTCAGTTCTTCGGTCTTCCTGGCGTCCGAGACCGCCCAGGAGGCCAGAGAATCGCCCAAAATTCAACCAAGAGGGCTTCCAGGCAGTCCAGGAGGAGCCCCAAGATGGCCCAGCAGGGCCCCAAGATGGCCCGAAGAGAGCCCCATGACGGCTCAAGATGGCCCCAAGACGCCTCCCGAATCATTCCAAATCGTGACCCCGTCGTCCAGGGGGACCGCGGTTGGAAACAGGGTGGCCCGGTGAAGCCCCCAGAGGCCCCAGAAGGGACCCAGGAGGCTTCCAGAAGGCCCTAATAAGCATTGTTTAACAACCTTTGTGAGGCTTACAAGAGGCTCTCCTAGGATGAGCCTCCGCAGAAAGAGCTGAGGATGGGGAAGAGTTCGCAGGGTAGGGCGAGAATCAGGAAAAGGAAGAGGAAACATTAGGTAAGTAAGGATAACAGTTAACATCATGACAATGACGATGCCAGACAAGGCAACAACGAGTTATCGCTAAACGTTCAGTTTTACCTGATTGCTTTCCTGTCTGCATGCCAAACCTCAAAACCAAAGTGCATGGCACGAAGCGCCAATGCAGTCTTGTATGCCATGCACCTTGTTCCTTGAAGCTTTGGAGCCGTTGGCCTGTCGCGCCTTCCTCTTTTCCCTTTGAGGCGTGCTGGCTCGCTCGTATCACGGAGAAACGGGGGAAGGGGAGAAGGGGGCAGTCAATTTGCGACGGGCAAAGACTGTGAGTCGGAGACCCTGGGCGCACGGAATGGCGTAAACGAACATTGTTGAAGTCCTGGGTGCGCAACAGAATTTCCAGAAAAGTGGTTGCGAACCTGGGAGTTGTGGGCTAACTGCGGCTTTCCGCAACGAAATACCATTTGAGCGAGAACTCAGGGATATGGGGGCTTGCCGAAGCGGTGTGAGGGCCTTGTGGCCCATCTCGGAGCCACCTCTGACTTTCCTCGGGGCGTCTTGGGACTGCCGCTCGCCCGTTTCCACGCTTGTGTGAACGTTGAGAAGGCTCCTTGGAGAGCTGGAATTCCTGGGTGGCCCTTTTGAGGAGCGTCCAGACGGTGTCCCCGGGCTGTCATGGAGCCGCCTATGGGCAGTTTGGGAGTCGTCTAGGGCCCTCATGGCGCCTTCGTAGAGAGTGAGGATGCTGATTTGACTCGTGTTGGGGCCTCCCCTGGCCGTCGGGGCGCCGCCCATGTGCAGTTTGGGGACCGTGCCGGGCCCTCGTGGGGCCGCGTTGGGGATTCAGGAAGCGCGTTCGGGTTTAGTTGGAGCGGTGTTCGGAGCTTTGACAAAGTTGTCGGACGCCCGGCAGGCCGAAGGAACGAATGGCAGTAAATCTTACAACATCATTGCAGCATGCGACGAGGGCATCCGACGAGGGCCAAGGCCAAGTTGATGCCATTTTGGACCGTCTTGGGCTTGTCTTGGGCCTTTTGCTGGCCGCCTTGGGATCAGTTTGGGACGGCCATGGGGCCGCTTGTAGGCAGTTTAGGAGCCGTCTTGGGCCCCCGAACGGCTATTCTGGAGGTTAGGTTTTCGGTGCCTCGCTTGCGTTCTCGGACGCCTGGCAAGCCGAATGAGAACATAGTCGAAAAGCATACCGACAAAAACACAGAAAAATTCAGAGTTGCTGGGTTTCGAGCGCCTCTTGGAGGTGACATTCAAAGCGCCTTCGAGCATCCAGCAAAGGCCTGAGGCCCTGAGGTGCATGATGCCATCTTGGACCGTTTGTGGCGTCTCTGAGGCCTTGCGCCAGCCGTCGTGGGGTCAGTTTCGAGCGGTCATAGGGGACTCTTGTCGGTAGCTTGGGGACCGCTTCGGGCGCTCATGGGGCTCATCTGGGCCGTCTAGGAGCGGCTTTCAGTGCGTTTCCAGCGTTCTCGGACGCGTGGAAGGCAGAATGAGCTAGTATCCGAAAATCATACTAAAAACAATGATACATCGATGTTTTTGGAGTTCGAACGCCTCTTTGGGGTGACATTGGGGTGATCTTCGGGCATCTGGCGGGGGTCAAGGCTAGCTGGATGCCATCCTGGACTGTCTTGGGTGGTTATTGGGCCTTTCGACGGTCGATTTGGGACTGCCACCCGCTTGCGTGCACGCCTTGGCAAGGATTTCCGGCCTCACCCCGTGCCAAGGATCCGGTGGGTCCCGTTTCGGGGGGGGGGGGGTCGCACCCCCCCGGATCATGAGAAAGAATATAGAGAGGGGAAAGAAGGGAATATAAGGAAAAATAAGAAAAATAATCTAAAAAATATGGGAAATTGTATAAGAAAAATATAGAGAGGGGGATATGTCGTTCTCTCCGCTCCCGCCTTCAGCTCCTCTTCCTCGGGCCCTGCTCCTCGCTGCCCCCCCTCATCCGCTCGCCCTTTTCTGCCAGACTGCCCTACTCCTCCCCCTTCCTCATCCCTATCCTCCCCTCCTCGTCCTCCCTCTCCATTATCCTCTTCCTCTGCCCCCGTTCACTCTTCTCATATTCCTTCTGGACCACCCTCCCTATCGTCCTCCTCCTCCTCCTTCTCATCCTCCTCCTCCTCTTCCCCCTCTTCCCCCTCATCCTCCTCATCCTCCTCCTCCTCCGCAGTGCTCCCGTCATCCACTTCCCCTAGATTCATATTGCTCTTCCGCTTCCTCCATCCTGCCCCTCCCCGTCCTGCTCAGCCTTGATCCTCCCCTCCTCCACCTCGGCCTCCTCTGCCTCCCCCCCCTTCCCCGCCGTCTCCTCCCCCCCCCATCCGCCCCCCGTTCCCCCTTCCCCTCCCACCCCCCCCCTTCCCCCCGCCCCTCTCGCGTCACGGTGCCAACATCGAATGCCACACGGGCCCTCCGCCGCGCGGGCGCCGGCCCGCGCCCGGCTCGGACGAAGGGGCGCGGCGCGTGCCATTTTGCAGCCAGCGGGCGCGGCCGCCCCGTCGGCGGGCAGCGACGCGCGGCAGGGCTCGCGGCTGCGCACGGACAGCCCCCCCCCCCCTCCCCCGAAGGCATGCTCGCGCCGTTGACAAACAAAAAAAAAAAAATCCGGGCGGGAGGAGCTCTGGGGCCAGCGTCGGCCCCTGGGGGGGGCCCTCCGCCGGGCCTCGGGGCCGTCGACAGAGCGGTGCAAGACGGTGCAGGACGAAGAGCCAGCCCTGGGAGGAGGGTCGGGACTCCCCGGGCACAGTCGACCCGCCCAGGAAGGATGGGCAACCTGCCCAGGGGTACCACCGCACCCTTGCCTCCTGGGTCCATCCTTCGCCACTGTCGTCGGCCGCGCCCTTGGCTCGAAAAGCTTCGGCAGGTGCGTCCAGGGCCCGTTGGCATCCTCACCGCGCACCCTCACTGCACGGGCTGACTGCACCGCCGAGAGGCTGCAGGGAGGGCCGCTTCGGGCTCGGGAGGGGCTCCGTGCTGCGGGCCGCTCCGCCAGGCCCAGGTCGCTCGGAGCCCGCTCGTGGCCGGAGCGGGGCCCGCCGCGGCCAAGGGGAGGCCGCTCCGTCCCCTGGCTGGCGCTCCTGCTGCCGGCATGCTGGCTGAGCAGCGCCTGCTGGGCTCCACGGGCCCCCCCGAGTACAGTCGGGGCGCTGATGAAGGAACCCTTCTCGTTTGGGAGGGGCTCCGTGTTCCTTAATTGTTTCACGGCTTGCCTTCGGTCTTCCGTAGGTTGTCCGATGGGAAATCGACGCTGAACTCCTGGAAAAAAGGGGCCTCGTTCCTCATTTGGGGTTCCTTGGGTCAACGCCCCGACTGTAGCCCGGGCGGGCCTCCACGCCTCCACGCGCCCCAGGGGCGCCGCCAGACGCCGCGCCGGGGCGCCGAGACGGGCCCCGGCCACTCGCGGGCGGCCTGCCGAGGCCCGCCAGGGCCGTCTGCCTGGGGGGGGGGGGGGCCGCGTGTGCGCAGCCCGAGGCCTGGCCAGAGTCGCGGGAGCCCCACGTCTCTCGCGCAGCAGGGCGGCGGCCGCGGCGTGCTTCTCGGGGGGCGGAGGGGGGAGGAGGGGGGAGTGCGAGGGGGAGCGCGAGGGGGGGAGGGAAGACCGCCTCCGAGGGCGGCGGGGCTTCTCAGAAGCCCTCTGGCCTTCGCAGAGGCCGCCCGTGCCTGCCGGGGGGAGGCGCAGAAGGCCTCTCGGAAGGCCGGAGGCCCCCGGGGCCCTCTGGAAAGACCCGCCCCCTCTGCCTTCCCCCCTGGGCTCGCCGCTGTTTTCTGCAGCGGCAGCGCGCAACCAGGCCGACCGCGTGCTACTAATTGCCGTTGCGGCCCGTGCTCGCCCAAAGCAGCCACACTATCTCTCCGCCCTGATCCCGCTACTTCC